TCTAACAGAGTCTTCATCACATAAAATACAGGCTAAATACGGTATTGTAGAATTTTTGTACTTAGTGGTACGAGCATATAATTTCTTATATTGACTTCTCGTTCTACCTGATGAGATACAAGGGGATAGTTGTGAATAAAGAGGGTGCAGAGGGTCTGACAGTACGGCCTTTGCGCAATTTGTACAGGAATTTACGTGTCTCTCGACTATAGTATTGGCGAGCTCACGCAGTGGCAAACCACAAGCCCTACTCACAGCATTTAATACCCTTCGTAATATGACATAGTCTTTTTTAAGAAGCCCAGGGAAGATTAATGGAGAACAAGAGTACAATAGGTAAAATACAGGAGTTTAAAAATTGCAGAACTAAAGGTTGGTTGATATTTGATTGTCTTAACTTTTTAATGTAGAAGGTAAGACGAAACGTTTTCTTAGAGATTGATAAGATGTGAGATGACCATGAAAGGTAAGAGGGAAGAACCAATCCAAGGTATTTAATGCTTGACTCGATTTCAATTTTAGTGCCATCTATGCTACAGGCATCATGGGAACTAACTAGTTCATGTATGTCACGCCGATGCTCGAAGGTAAAGTTAACTGCCTGACATTTGGAAGGATCTAACATAAGACCATTTGACTTAGACCACTTGCTGATGTCCAACAGAAAGCTATTAAGTTTGGAGCAGTCAGACTCGGAAGTGATAGGCAGTGATACAGTCAGATCATCAGCATATTTGACAAAGTTAGTTTCGTTTAAATGTGGCAGGTCGTGTAGGAAGAAAGAAAAAAGAAAAGGAGAGAGGACGGCACCTTGAGAAACACCGGCTTTTGTAAGCAAAGCAGAGGAAGATTTGCCATTATATGCAGTATACTGCATCCTATCAGAGAAATAAGAATGCAACCAACTCTTAGCTCAGGATGCTGTGTGCGTCAAGGAGAGCTTATTTAATAAAAGGCCCCTAGGTACAGAGTCAAACGTAGACGTGCAGTCTAGGAAACCACCACGAACATATTTGGCACCTTTGTCTAAACAAGAAACAACATAAGATATAAGACAACCGCAGCATCCAAGTTACTTCTACCATGTTTATATGCAAATTGCTTTAAGATTGCACCCAGTGACACTGCTCTTACTGAGTTTCGAGTCGCTTTTACTTGCCGATTTCTTTCCCAACACTATACAGGTGACTTGCTGTGCTTCTGAATCCGTTGACACTTTAGCACTGATACCAGGTGCATTTCTCGGTGTGTTCAACTTTGCATTGAAGGGGTTCTTGGTTGCTTGCCTTTGGTTAGTTGTTTTATCGGACACTACTTTAATAGTCTTGAATTTAGTGGCAGTAGCCAGGAGATCTTCGGCCTTCTTAAATCGTTCAGCTGTTATGTAGCTGTCGAACCTAAAGAGTATGGGACATAGATGCTTTAGGTCTTTTTTACTTAGGCGAATGCACTGACAGGGTGCACTCAAGAGATTTGCAGCCTTCAGCAATGAGTGCTGGACCGACTTTATGGGCTCGCTATCTGGTACATTGTACACTATAACGTTTTGTTTCGAAGCCAGCCTTTTAACAACTTCGCTGGATAGAAAGTCAATGGCGTTTTCTAACTCCGCATTTTTTTTGAGTCAGTAGGCGTCATTCTAGAGGTCATATTAAAAAGCTTTAGGATTGCAGGATCCTGCAGTTCCTTTTTCATAAGCGAGATAGTTTCGGGTATACATCCTAATGAACTTAACTTCATTTTTAATTCATTTATCTGTAGCTGCATCTCTTTAATAATGCATGTCAAGTAAGAGAGCTCTACCTTTTCAGACAGAACATCTTCCACCTGTATTACAGGGGTCAGAGTTATGTTCGAGTCTTTTCTGTTGGGTGAACTACTAATAATAAGGGGTGGTAATGTGTTATAAGACGAGCTGGTTGTATTTTTTCTAAATTACTGATGTTCACACGAACACTCTTTTTAGAATTTCGGCCCATCGTTATTAAAGATCAATCAACAGTAAGCAATAAATGAATATAAACGAAAACACGTGCAAAAGCGTTACCTGGTTCAAACGTACCGGGCAAGATGTACATTGGCCTCCTTCAAAAAGGTGCCTAATGACAAACTACAAGAGTTTGCAAACGATAGTAGTTCTAGTTCCTATCTGAGAGCCTCCGAAATTATAGGTCCATTTAATGTATAAGCTTAAATACTACACCTGTCGTTTTTTGCCTATATTTATAATTCTAGATAAAAGATTAACGGTCAAGATATGTATCCTCAAACAGACAAGAAATTTCGTTTGTAAAACTACTACCCAACACAATAAGTGGAATAAGATGGACATAAACCGACGACATGAAAAAGGTATAACTCACCTTAACATCACAAGGACAGATGAACGCTCGTTGGGCACCATATATCCCTCACCAACTGCAACCCACCTTTCCTTAGATAATGTGATGAACTTATATCCATAATGTTGCTGAGCAGTTAATATTCTCAACTCCTGTCGGAATAGCTGAAATTCATAAACCTTCCTCATGCTAAGAAAATACCCACAAGCGGTAGAAATCCATTAATTAATGAGTCTAAAGATTATGTATTTACTCCCAACAATGACATTGCAGATCAAATGAGATAAACACATCACTGATTTCAAAATAACACATCAATGAACTATAATTTGAGGATTCTGCACACAAAATGTTATGTATGAATATTGACTTCAAGCTTTATTTTTTTCCCAGGCACTTATAATCCATCCATCAAAGACCTGGTTTTTTGTTAATGCGAAGACAATACTTCTGCATTTCCTGATGTGTTGCACTCACTGACAATCTAGCGGATTCTTCCAACTTTGCATAGAAGTGATTGTATATAAGTGAAAAGGCTGTTTTATACTACTGGGATTAACATTTATCAAGTGTATGTATAATCTCCAGCGAACATGTAAAGCATATCTTGCTACTGCCTGTAAATTGTGATTGAATTATATGGTTCTATTTCTGTAACAATTTGATGATGCCTGTAAACTGGCGTCCCTCATGTACTGTACTATGAGAATAAATTTATTTATTTAATTTATATGACACCGAAACCTACGACTGAGTTGAGCTTGGCTAGTTTTTGCTCGTTTACTTCAAGAGTTAGTTCAATTTTACTGTTGCCACTACAAATCCGGCCGCATTTGTCGACGTTAAACTTTAGAAAAGATTCAGCACACTGTGTTGCGAGACTACTTAGTTCAAGATATATTTTATTTACTTTTACTTAATTCATGACTGCTGTAGGAATAAACGACTTTGAGTTCGTCAGCATATGGGAATGGTTTACCTGAGGTGAAGCAGTTACAAATGCTGTTAACGTTGAGTGTTAATGGGAGTGGCCCTAAGACACTGCCTGCACAACCCACTTGTGATCTGCCCAGGATACAGTTGAAATAACTTCACCTGAATTCATCCACTGGATTCATTCCGGTAAGATGATTAATCGTTGCTGTTTATACATAACGCCGGAGTATAAAAGGTTGTAGTACCTCCCCATCTCCTCTGAGCTACAGTACTTTTGGCCAAAACACTGTAGAATCTGGAGGCAGTACAGGGAGAATAAGAATAAAAGTTGAACCGAGACTTGCAGGGTTATCTCAGAAAAATCCCATGATTTAGCAGAAGCAACAAATTTATACCATTATTACTTTTCTTTATGAATGTTCCATAATGCTAGGAGTTATACCTCGGCCACTTATCCTCCAATGATGACTACGTAGATCGATTAGCTTTCTTGAGATGCGTTTGAAAATAAAATTCATCCGAAACACAGTCCATGAAGCTCAATCTTGAAAAGTTAATTGAACCAACTAGAATCCTCCCATGCAATGGCCGATATCAGTAGCTAGAGGGCAGTTACTGTTATTGTCCAGTATGCTACTAAGCTGACCTAATTTTCTGAGAACAATAGAGGATCCTGCTACCAGTTACAACTGAGAAAGTCGGATCAGAAGAGGCTGACTTTTCTACATAGGTGTGATTAAAAATTATATCCCAATTTTTTCATCGAATATCCAACATAAGGTGTAATACCATCCTGTTTACTCCCAGTCACCCTACCTCAAGAACGTAATGCGTTTCAATGTGTGTCAGATTTCCGCATCCTTAGGAAAACACTCGTTAGCCTCCTCAACATTCACAATGCTCTTATCCGGAATATTAAAATAAATATAGAATTTGCCGCGTAATACGGTGATATATGAGATGGTGGATAAAGACGGTTGCAAATGATACGCAGTATTCGGATAAAAGTGTTTATCCTCCAACTTCCAAAGTACTCGTTCTATTGACAACGGAGGCCAATAGAAACAACCAAACGATTATCCAGATTACGAGATATATTCAGGGATCAAAAAGGTAAAGTGATGATTACCTCAGTGGCTAGGGCTCATGTACGAACGACCAGATGTAACACGACAGATTGTTAAGCAACGCGGATTCCCCACAACGTAGCTTCGACTTGGTTATTCCATTTATTCAGTGTAGGTAGGCACTCAATGTCGAATGAAGTTGACTAATGCTTTTAGGAAATTTTTAACCACAACACTTGTTTTCAGGGTGGGCCATATTTGCGTGAGTGCCATTCCTTTGGTATTTCACTAGAGCCAGTGCAACTGACACTAATGTATTTTATCTGACTTTGGAAGAAAGTTCAAAAGCTTATCACATTCATGAAATTTCGAACAAAAATAATTTTCTTAGAATACCAACAAAATAGATTTTTTATTCTATTCCAAACAAGACTGGCCCTATAAAATACATAGAATAATATGAGGTGACTTGAAACTATCCTTCAAAAGTCGGAAGTCTACTTATGACACATAAGTTCACCGAAGATTTGGAACCTCTACCTTAAAATCAAGAAGCGAGCTCAAAGAAATCACTGGTTTATACTAGCTCGTAATCAGGATATTGGATATTGGATGGTTGTTTTAATGCTTAATGTTGTGCGACCTACACAACTTTCAGAATGTTGCGAGCGGTGTGCGCTTACCCTGGCCTTTTTCCAGGAACTTTAAGGTTCTCTCAGAATGAAATTTTCTTAGATATTCGTGAAGAAATTCAGAATTGGCGTTTGGTTTGTAAGACAGATGGAACTTTAGGTTGCGTTCCATCAAATTTTGTCGAAAAATACGAGGTACTTTATATTTGCATGTAACATTGATATTTCAGACTGGGGATGAAGACATCAAAGTTGAGTGTGCTAAAAAAGCATTAGTCAACTTGGCTGATAAAACGGTAGAAAATGTTTGGGGGAAGGAGGATTTGCTTGAGTATTATTGTTTCTAGTTGCGATTTCATAATCCCCAGACGTTTGTTGCAGATAATCGGAGAGAAACACATGCATACACCTGATGATGTGAAACTATCTGGAGACTTTTCTGAGCTAAAGATAACTGATCCTAAAGAACGTATACCTCAAGCAGCAAGTGAGTTTTTTTAAATATCTTCCAGCATGAACTGATGACATTTTGACGTTTCCGGGCGAACTTCAGTTTCAGAGCTCACAAGGATTTTCTGTAAAACCGGAATTCACCACAAAAATGTAGAATAGTAATTAGTGCGAGTGCTGTAAGGCTAAATGAGCAGCATGCAATACAACTATTGGGCATGAGGGTCGGATTTCTTGACACAAGAAGACTAACTCCGGCAAGAGTCAAGTGACCTTGATTCGACCAATCAGATAGCTCAGCATTACAGATGGTAGTTAGTCATAATCCTCGTTGAAAATATCTCCTAGATTTGGTTTTTGACTTCTCTGTCGAAAATGGGTTGGTAGGGAGAAAGAAAACACGTATGTGGAGGGATAATGACTGAAGAAGTATTGACGGGTTACTGACGGTTACTCATTCGAATGCAACCACTTAATATGAGGAAGTCTTTATAAGGTGATATGTCAATAACCACTTCTATGAGAATCTGGGGCCAGTTTTTGCGACATATGAGAGATAGATGCCCTTTTTATTACGTATATATCGTAGATACACTTCTTTGTAAATTTAGTACCACTTCTCACCTAGAAGAATCTGATTGGCTGTTTCAGGATCGTCTGCAGTTGGTGTCTATTCTTCACTGTTGCCCTGATACCGACAGATTCCAAACGTGACGAAGAGCAAGATTTGTACAAATGGAAGCTGAATAAAGTTCTTTGCGACAACCCGGAATAGTGATTAGCTACAAACGTCAAAGAGATGGAAAGATCATCGATGGTGGGTAACATCAGACAACTATTTAGGCGCTCTAGGGAATCTGCTTGTAAAAGACAAATAATAAGTCATACAGTTTCCGATTAGCTGACTCTGATTATTTTTCAGGAAAAGAGACTAACATTGGAGGTAACTTTGAGGAGTAGTGTAACGGGCTTACAGCCCAACACCTAGCAATGACCTGAATGGGACTTTGGTCCTCCAACTGTAATGAGTTTGTAGAAGGTACCTCTATTCTGAGACTAAGCAAATTGGTGGCACCTTGTGGCATGACTGCAGAGGTGTTTAATGGTATTGCCGACGAACTGCTGACTGGGTTAAGTAAGATATTAAGTGATGTGTGGGGAGCTGAGATAGTTACATTAGACCGGTGTAAATCCTTGATCATCCAAGTTTATAAGAATGGAGGTAATTCTTTCTGTGGTAATCATATGGCGGTTCTCTTGACTGTCATAGTATCTAAGATTCTAGGTTAGATAATCTCATACGTAGACCAAATGATGCATTGGAGAAATGAGCAAGTAAACACCTGGCAGATGAATTGATTATATTTACCCCTTCAACAGATTCGCGGTAGCCAAGTAGTGTAAATCTGCTTGTGTGACTGTTGGATTGAGCAACGCAGGAAGGTGTTGTCTGCCTGGCTGGGGTTCTAGAGACGCCAAGAAACAAAGGTTGGAGACTATTGGTTACATGGCACAAAATCGTTTTCTTTGACGCGAATGCATTCACTCTTTATGGGCTCCTAGATACAACGATCCTTATCGTATTGATGATTCATTATTATTGCATACTTTTATATTGTCTATCCGATAGAGCGACATATTTATTGCTATAAGAACAAATAATGTTAAAGATTATTTTACTTTTTTCTGGGTTTTTTTCCCTTAATAGTAGCAAAGTCTGAAGGGAATATTATTTTGCCAAAGAATTTCGAATACCGCCTACTGGACACAATAAGACTAGCAACAAATTGTTCTTATTCAGATTGTGGATTTGTGTATTCAGCATTGATGGGTATGCTATCCTCTGTAATACCAGGTTTGAAAGAAAATCTCCAAGCCGATAAGAAGGTAATATGGTTAATATATGTGTAAAACTTGGGCACTGTGGTAGTAAGTAGTTCCATATAAGTTTGTTTATTAGACGTATCACACAGTAAAACAGTATTATTTACTTGATGACGTTTCGAACAAAGTGATAGTGATAATAACGATAATAATAATGGTAATAAGAATAATAATGACGACATGCATGTCAAATATGCGCAAGACAACACCAACAATAAGGAATCTTAATCATCAGTAGTAATTCCATACAAGGAAGGAACCTCGGAAGCATTACTCAGAATTCTTAACAAAGCGGGAATAAAAGTGACTGGCATTCAAACCCCTCACACACTCATTCAGTAACAAGCTCTGTTGGTTAAAGGATCCTGTGGAGTCTTTAAAACAAAACAATTTAGTTTATCTAATACCCTACATGCAATGATTGTCAGGTCAGATTAGTAGAACAGGGGTAGACAGACTAGCCGAGCATAAAAATCTAGGAAAATCTAGATTGGCTGGCCCGAATAAGGTAAGAAATCTAGAGAATAGTTCAGCTATAGCACCTACTACTTGCAGTTACACACAACTATACAATAGGATGGGATAGGATGACAGTTTTAAAATCTAATGTCACAGTAGAGTGGAAGGGGAGATTGATAAGAGAAGCTTTGTTTATCGAATCAACTGGCTGAGAATACGTGTAATAGGAATGACTGAACTCCTGTCTAGCCGGACATCTGGGAAATTCTACTACCCCTGCGACGACAAATAGGAGAAGACAAAGAAAACTGTAAAACTCAAGTTTCTATGTCGTGTGATTACAATTGATATGATTATGAACAATAAATTTTGTTCGAAACCTTGTCATCCAGTAAATAATACTGTTTCACTGTGTGATACATCTAATAAACAAACTAATATGGAAGGTAATATGGTCACTAATATTTGCTCATCTCCTGTGTGTGTTTACGCTTTCTTTATTCTTTGCGTTCTGAGTTGAACATCGGGCTTCAAATTTTAAAGTTTCAGTTGCCTTGGTGTTCGTTTTTTAAGAGTAGGGTTGTTAGCCTCACATCCAGTCTTCTTTCCTTCCGGGGTAAGGTTGAGGATTGCGTGGGCTAGGAGTTGAACCTGAACCTTACGCATGGCTGGCAGGTAGCCTGTCATTAAACCGCAGATGAACATGTACTAATGTGGAAATTTGGAATGGTTACTTGATTTTTGAAACTTTGGTGCGTTAGCAACGCGTGTATGAAAGTATTCATCGTGAGTGAAACCTTTGACATCTTTTCAGTGATGTCATATGTGGTGGTAGAATAAAAAAACATGCTCCTTTAGTCTTCCGTCTTCCTGTTTTATTTTGACTGCGATCTCGGGCACACATACAGAAGGTTCGTGTGGCATTTGCCAGTTTACGCCATCTTAGGAATAGAAGTGATATCCGGCTGGCTATCGACCAAAGGGCGTGTGTACTACTCAGCGGTTCGCTCCGTTCTCCTTTATGACTGGCTGTGAGACCTGGCCATTGAAAGTGGAAGACATGAAAAGCTTGATTGGCTAGCTGTCTCTGATCATAGGTGCCTGCGTTCTAACTACCGTGTTAAGTGGTGGTGAGTAATATTGAGGTTAAGCATCCGTCAAGTGCTACTTAAGGAGGGGAAACCAATCGACGAGGTTGTGAAGTTACACCGATTAAGATGGTTAGGACATGTGTTACGTATGCCTAGTCATCGCCTTCCTCGACCGATGGGCAATGTTAGTTGACATAGGGTTAGGTTGGAAAAGAGCTACCGGTGGTCAAACGAAAACATGGCGGCACCAGTCAATGAAATCTACAGCAGTTAGTCTAAGCCACGTAGGAAGGTGTAGACTTCCTGAATGATTGGGGTCCTCGGGACGGTAAAAACCAATGGCTGGAAACAATTGGTGACATGTCTCAAAATCGTTCTGTGGCGCAGATGCATCCACTCCTTGTGACTTATGATTTCCAATGAAACTGTTTTGTTCTTCGTTATTACTATACCTTTGTCTCACACCTCTGTTTACTGTCTCTAATATGCATTTCTCCTACTTCCTTCACTTGCTTTGTGTGCTACATGGAGGGAGTGCGGCGACTTGAACTGCTGCACATCGGTGCAAATTTCTATGTTGAAAACAGACAGACCTGTATAGCAGGTACTATATCAGAATAAAGCAAATTATTATTATTATCATAATATTTACTCTGAATTTCGGTTTCCAGTCGACTGATGTAGAAAAAACAGAAGAGGAGTACTCACAAAGTCCAGATTGGTGTTTACTTAACATTAAATTTCGTTTCTTTGAATCACGTCAAAGTAACGATCAAGAATGTAATTGGCGGTTACATGATGATCAATATGATATTCTTGAACGGTTGAATGAATTGATTACCTTACTGGTAAGTAGTCACTTTTTATTTTGAAGAAAGTTATTTTAACAGCATCTAGTTTGCCTTCCACAGTTTTCCAAAGCTAATTGCATTAATAAATATGCTGACGATCAAACCATTTCTGTCCCTGTGGTTTCTGCATTCGATTTTTCTTATATGATGAATAGATTCTTATCTCAGCATCAGTTTCTCTTCGAATCTCTGTTGGTTGTCTCATATGATTGTTGATATCTAAGAAGATTTCTCGTTAGACATATGACATACACAATGAGGAAGTTGATACTTTCTGGTATTATAATTCAACCTCTTCTCTTACATTTCATTGAATGATGTATTTTACCCCATTCTTATTTGTTGATAGGCCTTATTCTTTTGTGGACTTCTCAAAAAAGACTGTCATGTTACGTAGAACATTGAAGGCTGTAGGTAGGCAGATTTAGTGGTGTGTGTGTGCCTTTGACTCAACTAACTGACATTATATTATTGTTGATAGGCCCTTCAATGTTTGCAAGCAGTTAGCTAAAGTTATCTTGTCTGACTCTGAACACTCGCTTTAATATTCTCAACCTTTTCCTTGTCTATCTTTAAGGGGGGTAAAACCAGAAGAAATTTCATGGGAATTTATACTCGTGCAGCTAGTCAGTGTAAAAATTCTACTATACCACCATATTCACCACGAGTTTTGTGTGAAGAGTTAGTTGTCGGATGTCAGGAAAGAAAGTTATGTGAGTTGTGCCTTGATATGATTATGAGTAGTAATAAATTGTACTCGAAATGTGGTCATCAGTAACAACACTTTGATTTTATCAAAATTGAATTTTATGCATAGTGTCAGAAAAGAAGTTAAATCAGTAACTGAACTGCAACGTACAGCGAAGATGATTATTGCATGTGTTATCTATGATACTATCTGCTTATACTTCAATATATTCCCACCAGAAGACAGGACTCCAGGTGAACACAGAGAAGACGGAGGTGATGAATACAACCAGTCGACCAAAAGCATCAGTGGTAACAAGCAGCACCAATCACCATCAACGGAAATAATTTGAAAGAGGTTACTTCCTGATTTCAAACCTCCAACGACTGGCGTATGAAGCTCACTGGAGCTCACCGGCATACGTATGGACAAAGGGCTTGTTGGATGTCCTGGATGTCTGGCCCCATTCAAAAAGGCGTATGAACCGAACTCCGGTCACCGGCTGCCAATGGATAGTGGACTCCCTACTCCACTCCTACTGCCTTGTAGGTCACACTTGGTTGTGTAAAGGCTAGAGCTGCACTATCAAACAAAAGGCCGAGTGGTTCTGGGGACATCACTCGTACCAAATTCCCATGAAACTTCGTAAACTCTCTTCATCAGATCGCTGCGCCTGGGTAGCGATGATTTGAGAAGTTCATGAAGCCGGCTCATCCTTCCGTAGGAGATAGCCGAAGCAAAGTAAAAAAAAGTAAGTCACTTATCTGCCCAGGAAGCACAGTTTCAACCACAGGCGGAACGGAACGGATGAACATGTCAAAGCCCGCCAGAGTCGGAAAGGCAAGGTGTTCCCTCATCAACCTGAAGTCAGTTTGGAAATCTGCTTTTACTCAGCATAAGGAACAAGATTCGGATTTTTAACACCGATATCAAGTTGGTCCTTCTATACGGGTTGGGAACTCAGCCAGCGTATCACAAAAAGCATTTTCAACACGCTACCGCAGACTTTTATCAACAGCTACCTTCGCTGGCTCCATACTGAAGATCAAATGGGCAGATCACGGGAAAGAATTAGCAGCAAGAAACTCTGGCTGTGAACAAACCAGCCTAGGGCCGATTGCTCAACAGATATGTAAGAGGAAGTGGAGACGGATCGGTCATACTTCGAGGAGGTCGTTGGGTGACATCGCGTGCCAGCCAGGGTATTGTCCGAGTGGAATTCCAATGAGAAGTGACGCGTGGGTCGTCGGTACGAGGGTGACACGGAGGAGATCGTGTAGTGAGGAGGAGAGTAGAAAATAGAGCAAAGTGGAGATGTGTCTTTGAAGCTTTATGCTCCATTTGGAACCTAAGGGAATAATAATATTATTATAATAATGTTTCTGTTTATAGTAGTTTCATTATTCATATTATTATTATTAGTAGTAGTATTTTAAGATTTATGTATCTTACATATTTATCAAAGGAGTTAAATTGTTGCAATATGTATAAAAATTCTGAATAGTCCATTTTGTATAATTGTTACTGTTTGGGATGAAGTGGTTATAATGCAGAAATAACTAAGAAGTTCATCAGCGATCCAACAGTACAAATTAAGATTAAATGTTCACAAGCCACGTTTCATTCCCCTCTTTACCATGATTATAATAAATAACTTTTAGATAAATTCCTTGATATATTGACGAGTAAATACTGTTCCACTTTTTCATTTCCACCTGATGATTTAATCACAATTATTTTAGGAAAGATCTGATCATCAATTGGTTGTATGCTATCTTCGTGTATCTGAATACCGATCGGTTCGTGCTCTAATCGGTTTATATCAACGTGAAACAAATCAAGAAATACGCGCTAAATTGCTCAGATGTATTGGAATATGTTGTTCTTTAGATTCTGCTTGTATTCATATCTGTCTTGAATCAGTTCTTCCTAATGAACTCATTCGAGAAATACGATGCACTACAGAACAGGGTAAGCAGTTTTATTGATTGTACTTTTCTTGTTTTGCTTTCTTTTTTTTTACCTCAAATTATAATTCTCAATAGTGTTTCGTCTTGGGTTTCCAGAGGAACATAGCGCTTCAACAGCACGTCTCCGCTTGGTTATATTTTCCACTGTCCTCATTAGCTGGGCACGTATTTCCCATAATCTCCTAACTACCATCTCCAATTCTGTATTACTATCATTACCAATTTTTTATGCTATTCCGATTCAGTGTTATTTTCATTGGACACTAGTAACTAGTGTGACGTGTTTAGTCCTTTCCTTGGTGCAGACTCAATTCTATCAGTCACTCAAGTTTGCAATGTGGCAACCATTCTAGGTAGCTCACCATCACGCTGCACATTGATTTGATGATATTAGATAGTTGGAGGCAATCGGCAGGAAGCCTTGAACCTAGGTTTCGCGCTAGTTGGCACTCACCAGTCAGCCAGCAAGGCGTATCTGCATCTTTGAAGGAACTCATGTCCTCAGAGGGAACCAGATCTCCCATGAGATGTGTGAGTGATACCTTGATATGATTATGAGCAATAGTTTGTGCTCAAAACGTTATTGTATAACACTGTGTGATTTTTGACGTTGCTTCACAAAACTTGGGTCCAAGTGCTAAGATTTGCATTTGAATTGGAGATAGTGGAAAATCAGAATAAATTGAACACGTATTTTTCTCGACAAGTAGGAAAGACGGTTTCTTTGCTAACTGACTCAAGGCTTTGGTTTAGTTTCATTATAAGAATAGATGATGTCATAATGAAACCAAACCAAAGCCTTATGTCCGTTACCAAAGAAACCGTCTTTCCTACTTGTCGAGAAAAATACGTGTTCAATTTATTCTGATGTTCCACTGTGTGATTTATCAAAATAAAACCATTTCTATAATGGAAAATAGACTGTGTCTGGTCATTGAACGAGGAGATTGTGGAAAAGTAAACCACTGTCGCTATTGTCTAGACCTTAGTGCTAACTGAATTCTACCAATGAGAAGTCCACCGCATCTAATGGGAGATCTCAGTCCCTCTGAGGTTGTGCGCAGACACTATATACACGTCGTTGACATGTGTGCCAATATATATAGAGAGATCTTAGAGCTTGTTCACCGATCATCTCCAGCTGTGAGTATACATCAAATATACACAGTTTACGTAAGAAAAATCTGTGAATTGTTTCTGTATTTTAATTTTTTTTCTTCTTACACTTTATTTTGTAATTTTAGAAATTCCACAACTTGCTTTAAGATTACGATTTTTGTCCATACTGATTGCGCGTTCACCAAGCCTTCCTGTGGATTTATATAGTAAGGATAACCTTTCTTTTTTGCTTGTTCTATTGAATTTCAATAAATCTTTAACTGTTTTTCACACCATTTAAAAAAAGCTGTATTCAAGTGTTGGTTTGTAGGGTTTGATTGGTTATAGGATTTCATCGTGGTCTTACATCGCTTGGAAAACCAGCAGGTCGGGTGTGAGGAAAAATAGTCATTTGCTAGCGATGACATTGGCTAGTCGCCAGTCGCTCCAAATTAATCACGAATTGGTAGAGGTTAGAATTCATGAGCTGGCCATTGGATCAGGTCCCAGTGGCTGAGTGGTTTACGAGCTTGCCTTACCTTGTAACCAGAAGGCCCTGAGTTCGAACCCTGATGGGTGGGTGGGGTTGCATTCATGAGGAGAGCGCCTAACTACGACAATAAAAACAGCCGTCTGGTGATACTCCCTGGTGGTTTTCCAATGGTTCTCTGACCGATATCAGTTCATGATGTGAAATCCATTTTACTATATCCAGGAAAACCTGTGTCTGTTTGTTGACCTTGTTTGTATACTGCCCACTTGGGGTCCCTGTGATACCTAGAGACTGTTGGTGATAGATATGGCTCAAAGTCTTTTTCAGTAGCTGAGGTGTATTCAGTGTCTCTGTGATCTTTTCCATGGTCACTAAATCATCATGGCTTTACATGTTAATATTTTCTTTTCCGCACACTTATAGCTCACTACAATACCCTCCTTCTATGTGTACTATATGGACTTGGTGCACTTCTTTGCGAAGTTCTACAACGGAAAACTCAGCGAAGCCTTTGAAAAGAAGACGGGAGTAAGATAAGGCGGCTGGCTACTATCCTTGATGATATTCCATGTTTGTGATGGACTGGAGGGAGCAATAAGATTTCGCATAAGTTGGATTGACGTGAAGAGTAGAACATCTGGACTTCACTGACTAGAACTCGAAGATCTACAGACGAAAAGCAACAAGTTTTCAGAAGAGGCAGGTAGTGTATACAGGACTTCAAGCAAATATAGAGAAGACAGAGGTAGTGAAGATAAGCAACCAACAACAGCAAGCAGCAAACACCAATGACTATTGACGGAGGAGATTTCAAAGAGATCACTTCCTCCAATTTTCTAGCCAACATACTTTCAACTACAGTCAGTTGGTACAAACGTGGAGGAAGTCTAAAACCAGTCAGAATTGGAAAGTTAAGACAGACTTTTATCGCTCTAAAATTTCCTGCACTCAGCACAAAAAACAGGATTTGGATCTTCAATGCCAGTGTTAAGTCACTTCTTCTATGTGGGTCAGAAACTTGCAATTTGCGACACGAAAAACATTTCTGACCGACTGCTGCAGACTTTTATCAACAGCTGCCCACTTCGCTGGCTCCTTACTGAAGATAAAATCGGTAACCAAAAAGGATCAACACCACCAATAGGCTCTGAGAATAAATCAACCAGGAACCTATTGCCCAACAAATCTCCTGAAGGAAATGGAGATGGGTTGGACACTTCCTGAAGAAACTGTTAAGTGACATCACGCGCCAGGCCATCATTCGAACGAAATTCGAATGAGGAACAACAAGTAGGGCGATCAAAGGTGATGTAGAGTAGATCGTATGTTAAGTAAGAAATGAGAGCTGGTGCGCAGTCGTGGGCCCCGATGAGGAAGACTACAGACGACAGGAGAGATATGCTGTTGAGGCCGTATGCAGCTCTCAGAACCCAAGAAGATAATAATAAGTAGGTCGACGGTATCAGGATTGACCGCTAAAGGGAGAGTTACATCAGCCCGAATGGCGTGGTTGCTGATTAAATCTAAGCACAGATACATAATACTGGTTGGATATTTGCCGATCTGTGTCCTATTTATTACACACGTGATGTCCAGCCAAACAGTATGTACCCTCCTAATTCACGGCCACGACATATGGCGGTTGAAGAAAGAGGATATGAAAAGATTGGCTGGTTTTTACTATAAGTGTCCGCCACACTTTCACTTTCATGATACCTAGGGCGACACAGTCAGTCAGTGCTGTTGGGATTAAATTTAGGGTAAGACTAACGGTAGAAGGACCTTCAAAAGGACTTTCAATTCAGCTAAGCTATGCTGCGTATTCACTAGCCGACGAATACTTAGTTCAACAAAAAAAGACAAACTGCCCTGTTTCGCCTCTTCCATGTGTATTTACCAGTTTAACTGCTCGTGTGAAGCTAGTTACATTGAGCGTACGATCAAACAAGTTCACCATCGAATTTCTGAATACCTCCCATCTTGGTATAGTAAAGGTTCGAATAAAGCTGCTATCCTCAGCACAATACACTAGCTCATCAAGTTGAGTCTAACCAGGTTTTCAAAGGTATTTTTTGTATTTCAACCAGTTATTCGCCACATGCTCTACGAATGTAACTTTTACATACAGCAGCAGAGGCGGTCGGTATTCATCTGGACAAGCCAAATCTGTGTGTGAGTTCAAAAGAAATTTGTACAGCCCTTTTGTTTGCCATGGCCCCAGCTACATAAGATTTATTAAGTTTTGAAAGTCGATTACTTTTCCTCTACCCTTGTAACTAACCATCTTTTGACTTTGTTATCTTATTTACAATTCTAGCTAATTCTATCAATTTGTTTGAATTTTACGTAATTCTTGCGAGTCGTCATTATCTTACAAACTCCTTGATTATGTAATGACTTGTTGCTAACCCCCTACGAATTAACTTATCTTGAATTCCGTAATTAAGTGATTGTATAACTTTCACCCTTCCTTCAAAACTTAGATATATTGTTACTAACATCTATGAGTTAGAATAAAGCAAGAACAGCAGTTTTTACAGAATAATATGGTACCATCATTGCTTATTTCGTTGGCTTCTCACCATCTCCTCGTAGCCTAAATAAATTATTAAAGTTTTAACCTCCCCTCCCCCCTTTGATATAGTGTAATTTGGTTTGTCTCCTGTTTCTATGATTTGAGTTGAACTCACCACATTGTCACCCAATTTATTAGTATACTCATCATTTTACGTACCTCTCGTCTTTATTACGTAACTCCGTTACCATAGTATGCATACGCTTACTTTAAAACAATTAGTCCCTTTTATAAATTTGGATAGTGTTATTAGAAGACGGAGATTATCTGAAAATTGTGATGTATTTGTGCTACACATTTCGAACAATTTAATCACACATTTACTTGTCAAGTCGATATATATGAAAAAATTAAGGGCAGTTAAATTAAACAAAGTGAGAGAAAAAAGGATTTAAGAATAGTTAACACAACGTTTGGTAATCCAATCAAATAAGGATTACCAAGGTAGGTGGGTTAAGAGTAATATTAAACTGGTTTTGAATACACAGGGGGGGGGGGGCTTAAGTTTATGAATAACTAAAGCCTGGGTGTATTTCAATAAGTACCCTTGACCTATTATGCAGCCCGGCTTGTAATTGTTGAAAAATCCGAAAATATGCTCGACTGCAAACCTCAAAAGTTCACAAGTGATTATGTCACATCCCACACTATTTGCCAATTTTCGTGTTTGTGGTCACACATACATAGGGAGGAGTAATCGTGCTTTGCATGTGAGGGTAGGAGAGCATATCTCGAAATGGTCGGAAAAACAAATGGATTGTGGAAAAATCAATAGACGCAGGTGTCAGACTACCAACTTCGTCTATAGCATAGATGGTAAATTTTGTTTTGATACCATAGTTGATTTACTATTACCTCTGTTATTTGGTTTAGTAGTCTTCATTGTTACTTTGACCTTGAATATGTCCTTTAAACTTGACCTGAGTCTATTTTCCCACCTCTTACCTCTTTATTAATTTCATATATATTCCTATGACAAGTCCGTGTGTGATCAGATTGTTCGAAATGTGTTGCGCAAATACACATGACATGATTCAGACAAATTACGCCTTCTTATTGCTTTATCTAAATATATGAAATTAATAAAGAGGTAAGAGGTGGGAAAATAGACTCAGGTCAAGTTTAAAGGACATATTCAAGGTCAAAGTAACAATGAAGACCACTAAACCAAATAACAGAGGTAATAGTACATCTGCTATGGTATCAAAACAAAATTTACCAAGTAAGGTTTAATGTGATGATGAATTGTTTTTGAACGCATAAAGGTGGCTTAAACTTTCTAATTGCTAGGGCTTCCACAAACTTTAGGATACGCCCCAAACACGTTTTATAGGTAGGTTTAAAAGAGCTGTTAACGTCAATTTTATGTCCTGTCTCTATAATATGTTTCGCAATAAAGGAGCTAGGCCTCCTGTTCTCATCGTTAATAGGTTCTAAAGATTCCATTTGTTTCTGGAGCAATTTAGTAATATTCTCTGAAGCCCTTACTTGCAGAGATCGATGAGTCCTCCCTATGTATGTGTGTCCACACATACATTCAAATTGGTAAATACAGTGGGATGTGACGTCACTTTTCGCATGTTCGAAGGGCTTTACATTCTCTATTATTATGATATTAGCTGCATAAAAAGTCTTTTTGACAGCAGCGTTCAGTCTTTGTCTAGTTATCAAGCTACCCTATATGGGGCATCAAAGCAGCTTGATAACTAGACAAAGACTGAACGCTGCTGTCAAAAAGACTTTTTATGCAGCCAATATCATAATAATGTATAGCGCAAATATGTCACATTACATTTTTCAGATAATCTCCTTCTTCCAATAACACTATCCAAATTTATAAAAGGGACTAATTGTTTTAAAGTAAGCGTATGCATACTATGGTAGAGGAGTTACGTAATAAAAACGAGTCCTTGTTAACTTGCCTGTAGATAGCACTGATTTATAATGTGACTTGCTGTTGGAAGCTCATGAGAGAATGAATCAAACTGACGGTAGAAGGTTGCAGAGTAATAGTATACAGTGAGGGGATAGTGGGGTGGGGTGGAGCGAGTTACACACGGATCAAATTGTAAGTGTTTACCAGCTTACGCTTACTTTGTAGTGTACAATTAATATTGTGCAAATATTGCCTTCTTTTCTTTTTTTCAGCATCTCTTGATCGAGAACTTTTCAGTCATTTAATGAAATTATGCGATTCAACGAGTTCAACTAGTTCAAATTTAATCGATTTAGAAAATTTTACTGATCATCGTGAACTCTCAATTACAAGCAATAATAATAGTGCTGATGCTAATGGGGATAGTGGTAATAATAATATTAATAATAATAAAAATAACAGCAACTCTAATGAACAAAGTCGCCAGTGTGAAATGTTTTCATATACTGTAACAGTATTTTTCTTAGCGTGTAATTGGCATTTTAATAGTTCAGTCTACACAATCAATTCTCCGTCTAAAAATGATCCTGCTGATTCTGTCTGTGTGAAAAGTCCTCTATTGGAAGCATTGCTCAGTGAATCAATATCATCTCGTCTTTTCCTTGAAATAGTTATTCAGACATTCAATCGTAATTGTAAGTTGTAATAATCAATACGTTTCTTTTTTTTTGTATTTATTTATTGATTTGTTCGACCAGCTCAACTAATTGTCACCAGCAGGTTTTGAGTTCGACCCCTTCTTATTGTGAAATTGTCGGTGCTGTGCTGGTTGTGAGTTCATCAGCTTTAAGACCTTTGTCTAATGTGAAGACCTGTGGCTGCTTGCTACCTTGACGTCGTGGTGGTGATCGGATTTACAATAGGGAACGACTCATCATCAATACCAGAGATCTGGAAAATATGACCACCAACCGTATCAAGAGATGAGAAGTCATGGAAGTTATGCGAGTAGTAGTGCGTTGATATGATTATGAGCAGGAATCAATAGTTCTCGAAACGTGGTCATCAGTAAATATAGCACTGTATAGCACACATTGTGAGACTTTATCATCGAAATAAAATTTTATCCATAATGGAATTGCGTAAGCTTAGCTTTGTCTGTTCAGTTTTACTAATGTCCTATTTTTTTTGAAATGATAGAGAAGATTTGTATTTCAGGTGAATGATTTGCAATTAGTAGTGTTCTCTGAGCTGGTTGGTTTTTGTTGCGGAGCTTTCGTCGTCCCAAGAAGTAACTCGGATTGATGAATGCCACGGAAACATTAATTTAAGTGTAGAATTTGGGCACTACGGTAGAATTTCATTCCATATTAGATTACTTCATTCTAAACATCACACAGTGAGTGAGTGATGCAATATTCACAACTGGATGATAATGTTTCGAGTGTAGATTATTGCTCCTAATCATATCAATTTAATCACACGGCTTCACAATTTCTCTCACAATGTATATACTTTCTCTCTCTCTCCAACCTCCCCTTGGTGTTTGTTGCGACTTTCCATATCCCCGGTAGAAGCGATATGTCATTCCAATTGCATGCGCACGGTGTGGAATCGATAAACAAAGCTTCAGTGATTAACCTTTCCCTCTTCCCACGTAATTATATTACTTTTTATACTCACCCTGTCCCGCCCATTCTATTGTGTGATAACCGAGCATTTTTAAAGGTTATTTAATTAAACAGGGTCAGTTATTCTATGTCTAGCTAAAGCTTCATGTTCCAGTAATCCAATTGACCCCGATCTACTAGTTTGACTCACCTATGGAATTGACCTCACAGTCAGCATTACACGGTATTTGGTAAACTGCATTAATTTTTCCTTAAGCCGACAAAGTTTATTTATAAGAGAGAGAGAGTTCGTTGGTGGATAGATTTAAATGCCACCCTGACTAATCCCAGCATCATTGAGAATCCTACGTAAAGCCTTTGACGTTTCTTCTTTACACGGCAGTACTACAGAGGCTTTGAATTCTTTATTATTTTCGTCATTTTTATTACTAATCTTAGATTTTCTATGGTTCTTCATATATTTTCAAATGAATTCTGGTAGGTAGTTAGTTGTTCACCAGTATTACTTCCTTAATTTGTTTGATTTCATTATTTAAATCTTCCGGCTTACGAGTTAGTTAGGCACTTGGCCCGATTAAACAGACATTTTAACTAAACCCTTCTTTACTGATTCCGGGTGCATTAGAATGTGTGTGTGTGTCGGTTTCCTATAAATGCTGGTTTTGTTAATACAGGGTAATCACTGTGTGATATTTAAAATAAATTTTATGTAATTCCATTATGGTGCGTCGGTGGCATAGCGGTTAGGACGCTCGCCGACCCTGCATATGGTCCGGGGTTCGATCCCCAGCCGACGCACTCCTTTACCTCGCTAAGCCAGAAATAGTGCTGGTGAAGAGGAAAGGTTGGGCATGAGGCTAGCAACCCCATCCTGTAAAATAAACTCTGCTACAGAAACTTCAGGCCACTAGCTTGAAGCCGTATGTTCCACTAGGAACGTGAAGGGAAAAAATTCCATTATGGGTAAAATTTGTTTTGATAAGGTCTGACAGTGTGCTATACAGTAATATTTACTGATGACGTTTCGAGCACTGAACATATTGAGATAGGTCCATATGAGGAAATTAAGAAGTCCCTAGATACAATAATGACTAAGGTTAAAAAATCTACAGCGGATTCAATACGCAGAATGAAGCCGTCACTAGATGACTCTCAATGGTTTAATTTAATGCCTAAAACTAACAATGTTAGTAGAATACATCGTACTATTAAAATACATAGACCAGGTTACCTCATACGATCAATAGTAGATTTCAGGAATACCCCTATTTATGAATTATGAAAACCCTCAGCTCTAATATTATGCCCCATTGGAAATCGTTCAAACTTTAGACTAACTGATTCATATGAAATGAAAAGGGAACTAAATAACATTCAATTAGAGAATAATGAAAGAATGGTCAGTTTTGATATAACTAGTCTGTACACTAATATGCCAATCAATATGGCAGCCTTAGAAGCAGTTAAAAAAGAATTAACTGCAGATCCTGAACCCACTCATAGGTCGAAGCTGCCCATTGAGAAAATTATTTTAGGAATTCAGTTATGACTCACATCTATCTTTAAATTCCAAGGCAAAATAATATAGACAAACTGAAGGTGTAGCAATAGGATCACCAATATCCCCAGTCGTAGCAGATATATTTTTGGACAGCTGGGAAAAGATTGCTCTTAGTACATTCATTTAATCCTACTCCAAAAATATCGTGGAGATATGTGGATGACACTTTCTCACACAGTGTTAAAAGCAGAACTTATCTCTAGCTTCTTGACACACATAAACTCACTAGTGGAGGGAATAAAACTCACATTTGAAGCCGAAAATGAGCAAGGAGAATTAGCTGTGAGGTTAGATTGTAAAATAAAACGAATGGAAGAAGGTAAACTACACACTAGTGTTTATAGAAAACCAACGCGTTCTGCTAATAGATATTTAGACTTTAATTCATCTCATCCTTTAACTGTTAAGGCAGGCTTTGTTAAGTGTTTAACAAATCGAGCAATGGCACTAAGTAGCACGAAAAAAGACCTTAATGATGAAATAAAACAGATAGAAGAGGTGTTGGTGTTAAATAACTATCCTTTAAAATTCATTAGAAAGATTGAAAAAGGCCAAAATAAGAATAATTGTGAAACTAGTAATGATAACATAAATAAGAAAGAACATAAGCCGTCTACAGTAGTTTTACCATATAAGGAGGGGACATCTTAGACCCTGTGTATGATTCTTAATAAGGCAGGAATTAGGGTGGCATTCAGACCTATAAACTCACTCAAGTAGACAAAATAATATAATTTACAAAATACCCTGCAATGACTGTGAGTGAGGTCAACTACATAGGTCAAACTAGTAGATCGGGCGGGAGTAGTCAGATTGTCGGAACATAAGAATTTAGCCAAGGTAAGAATGGTTGATCTCACGAAGATAAGTAACTTAGAAAAAAAACTCAGCACTGCATTGCAATGCATGCATTAACACACAAACAACACAATAGGGTGGAAGAGGGTTAAAATTCTAAGATGTAATATAGGTAGGTGGAGAGAAGTTGATTACTGAATCCTGGTTCATCGAATTTACACCCAACACATGCAGTAGGATGCAATGACTCATCACTCATACCGGAAATATGGAGAATACTACTACCAATCAAATCAAGCGATGAAAAATAGTGAAATTATATAAACGGAGTTGTGTGAGTGACTTGATATGATTATGAGTGGCAATAGTTTGTGCTCGAAAGGTGGTCATCAGTTAATATTACTGTATAACACCACTGTGTGATTTATCAAAATAAATGTTACCCATAATGGAATTATACTCTATCACAGTGCCCAAGTTTTATTCTTATATGAAATTTTATCTCATACGTAAGCAATCTACAATGTTTGTGTTTTTTGGTTTCTAATTTCAGTCGACCCGACATTTATGGTGACTTTCCTTCCAAAGCATAAAAATGATGACAGAGAAAGTTGTCTAATCCAATGGGTTAACTTTTGTCAGTCCAATATACATGACAGTTGCACTAATGATACATCTACTGCCACTACAGCTAAAGGTTTAGAGGAGTTTTTAAAAATATTTGAAGCTAATTCACGCACTGACAATAATACTCATGATGATTTAGAATATATTGAAAGTCTGTGGAATTCTAATCTAGGCTGTCGTCATCAAAGCAGCTCTTTAGAGCTGACTGACAACAAGCCAGTACTGTCTGATCATCATGTCAATTCAACAACTATGCCTACAAATACTGTGATCAAATTCCTTTGTGATTTATTCTACTCTCCGGATACTTCAGTGCTGATCTATCATAATGATTTTGAAGTGATTATTGAAGTGATAAATCGACAATTACGCGATTTAGAACCTGATTCTGAGGTAAGTTTTATTCAATGATAAAATGTCTCTTTTTGTACTTTTTTTGCATTACTAGTAAGTAGTAGTAAGGCAAGCTTATCTTACTCTGAAGTCCTGTGTGGTGATCAACAGCACTACTTAGCATGAAAAATGAAAATAAGATGCTGATTTTCAACTCCAATGGGAATTCAGTGCTATGTGCTATACGGATCAGAGACTTGGCGCCGCGTCACGAAGGGCACTTCGGACAAACTACAGGCCTTCATAAACCTCTGTCTTCGCCCAATACTTCAGTCAAGATCGGATGGCCGGCCAGAAAACATCAGAAACAGGGAGGGATCTCTGGCAATGAACGAACCAACCCATCAGGAACCAATTGTGCAAGAAATATGCGGGAAGAAATGGAGGTGGATTGGCCATACTCTGAGGAAACTATCAAGTGACATCACATGCCAGGCTCTCTCTCGGGTGGAACCCGAAAGGGAAGCGGCGAGTTGGTTGTCAATGCGAGGGTGAAGTGGAGTGGAGGAGGTGATGTGAAGAGGAGATGAAAGCATATGGTTAGAGGTGGAGCCAGGTGAAAACGTTCGCGGAGAACCGAACTCAGTGGGGACGTGCGGCTGAATCCCTATGTTCCTCTAGGAACTACAGGAGACGATAATAATAGATAGTTGTCTTATTGTTATATCTACCTGGTTCACTGATCCAATTCTCACCAGCCGTGAATAGGAAGTAGTAGTCTTTCGTCATAAAGCTATCCCAGAGAATCTTACCATCGACGGGAGTCACCATCACATTTTATATATTCGACTTGAAGAAAAGGAAGAGAGAAAATAATAATTCAGTACATATTTAATGCACAGAGAAAAATATCCTTTTTTCTCTTTTCATTTACACGCATGTTATTATTATTATTATTATTATTATTATTATTATTATTATACGTTCCTTACGTTACAAATGAAAAATAAGGATTCTGTGGAACGTCTCTATTGGATTCCCGTCCACTGTCATTGCTTTCATTTCCACCTTAAATGACCTTCTCTATCTCACACTTGGAGGACCCACATCAAGTCCGTCAATGCCTCTTCGGGCTTCACTCGAGGATGTGGATGTATAGCGTCTGTTGAAGGTCCCATCAGTGTATGTCCAATACCTCTCCATTCTCTTCGCCATTTTTGTTGGTCAATATTTTGTTGGCCGATTCGCTAACCATCACCACTCCTTGCTGCTTATCTTTCGTGTCTATCTGATCTTCAGTATGAAGCAAAGATAGCTGTTAGGACCTCCTTTGTGCCGTTAGTGTCAAGTCTCTGAACTCAGCTGAAGTGGTGATGTAACATCTGTGTTGAAAATTTGCATTGTAATAGTAATAATAATCACTTTATCCCAGACAATAGTAATCATACACAGTGTAATTTTTTGGCGTTACGTAATCAGATGAAAGACAGGATGAAAACATCCAGTTACCAGGCAGGGCAAGGAAGGACTGATAACCGCTCCTTTCTGAACTCATGAATCGGGTTTCAGGCACCTGATGGAGATTGCTTCGGCAAACCTGAGGAGAATTGAACTCTTTTGCCTATTGGTTATTCTGAAGCATCTTACGACGTCCACCTCATAACCCATGTCAAGGAAGTGCCTGACAATGGCACTGTTGAAAGCATTTGTTCCCTTGGGATGTAGGCTTTTCGGTACATGTTCAGAAAATCGGAGGTGTGCCCTTCTTTCTGTTTTCCCAATGTAACTGCCCCTCGGCAGACACATCCAAACTTATATACACAGTTGCAGTTAACGTGAGGAGAGTATCTTTCGAACTTTGATTGCACCAAGGAGCATGTCGTCCGATAGAAAGAAACCAGCTTAGCTGCAGGGCAGACTCTGGCTAGTGATACATTCAATCTTTTGTCTATTATTCCTGCAATATCACCTTTAAAATAAATTTGAGTGAAGACAGGCACTTTTTTCCACTGTGATTTGTTTAACCTATGAACCTTCACGTCTTCCGTGCTTGTTAATAAATTTCTCAGGGTAATATTTTTATTTTTCAAAATTAATGAGAATTAAGAAATTCCTTCTCTAAGTTTTCTGTAGACCGTGTTCTTCTAACTGTCTGTAAAACAGGGTTATTAACCGGTGCTTGTTTATGTAACCATTTAGATGAAAACTATTAAAATGTGAGTAGTAGTGTCGTTTCCATGTAGCCTTTCAGTAAATTGATAATCTCTGCAGACACTACCATACTCCTGGCGTTATATACGGTAATGTCAAGGAATTGAAGTTTTCGATCACTTTCATACTCCATAATGATTTCAATGTTTGCATGTGTGTGTGTGTGTGTTGGCGTGCGTCGCTGAATAATCCGAGTAAGTAGGAAGCGTGATTTCCACTGTCGCATACTTCAAATGTGTTGTCGACATATCAACAATAAGAAGTTATTTCGTCGGCTACAGACTTCAGTTTTGTTCTTTCGAGGTCTACTAAAATAGAACTAAGTGGACTGTCGATAAACTACACCATCTATTTGACATTTAATCTGGCATAGTATATTGAAACTATTGATGATATCATTACAGGATTGCGCTTCGGTCGTGAATTGTGAAATTAGAGAAAAAGGAGGGGGAAATAGGGAGGAAATCATAAAGGGCAGATCAAAGTATGCTACAAATGTGGATTTAAGCTACCTACTGTATATGGTGTATTGTGTATACATTAATCCGGCTTCGTTAATCTGATTATGTAATGAGCTTTTTTATTACCTTGCTTATTAATAATCCTAAAACCTTTGAGCTTGATCACAGATTGATGTCAGTTAGAGAGAGAACCATTGAAAACCAAGTCCCTGGTTCGAATCCTAGTGGGCGTCTGCACCTCTGAAGTGTCACAAACTAGGACGAAACATCTGCTGTCCATTACTTACTACTTATCTAATGGTTTCCTAACTGATATTAATTCGTGGTCAAGCTTGAAACAAACCCTTTACTCAACATCACCGTTTGATCACAGTCCATCTGGTGAATGTCGTGTGAGATGATTGAGCACCTTGGCAGGTGGTGGTGTCATTATGAGTAGTAGTGCTAGAAAGCCGACAGACAAACATCTTTCTGTGAACCTACAAAGTGCATTTTGTTAATAATTTATTCCACATTGATAAATAATATTCTCATTTTCTTATTATTATTATTATTCATACTTTGGTTTCTCCTCAAGGATTTACCTCATTTCCTGCAACTCTTGGGCATCATGTCAGCCAGTTCATGTCTTACAGTAAGAGATTCCGCCAAAATTCATGATACAATAGATTCCTTGAAATCAATTTTACAATCAGTATCACATAGTACATCGTGTAAAACACTTGCACTGACTGTATGTAAACAATTAAATACTGTTGTGAATTCATTCACTAAACAATAGTAGCCATTATTATTATTATTATTATTATTATTATTATTATTATTATAGTGATTACGTAAGCATTGTTATGTCATAAGCAGTACATTATTACTATTATTGTTATTATTATTGTTATTACTGCCAATGTTACAACATTCCATCTGCATAAAGTTCTATTCATTATTCATTGAGAGTTTACATTCAAACCAAAAAAAATATATGAACCAAAATATTAATTTTTCGGATAAATTATTACTCTTTTTTCAAGTTTTGATCATGGATTGATGTTAGTTAGAAGGGAATCATTGAAAACCAGTTGGGAGTACTGGATGGCCAGCTGTTTCATCCTATTTCGGGGAGTCTTCAGAAGCTTGATCTCATTACGTGAATGAATAGGAACCAGCATATTGGTTTGTTTATTAGATGTATCACACTTATGAATTGGAAACTCAGGAAAGGGAAATTCCGAAGTTAGATTGTAACATATAAAAGAAAGAAGATGCGGAGTTAAACACACAATCAAACAGATATTTGGACTTCCGATCATCCCATCGTATGTCAGTGAAAATAGGATTGGTGGAATGTTTAGGTAATAATAGAGCACAAAAACTAAGTATTACCAAGGAAAATCTAAGACAGGAAGTGAGACATATAAGAGAAGCTTTGAAACTTGATAATTACCCTGATAAGTTAGTCAGAAAGTATGTAGGGAAATGCAAAAATAAAATAAATAATGATACTAGTTATAATTATAATGATAGTATTACTATTGACGACATGCATGCCAAACACGCACAGGATAATGACAACACCTACAATGAGGAATCTAAATCATCACTTGTGCTCCCATGCAAAGAGGGAACCTCGGAAACCTTACAGAGAATTCTTAACAAGGCAGGAATAAAAGTGGCTGTCATTCAAACCCCCCACAAACTCAATTAGAAACAAGCTTTGTCGGTTAGAGGATCAATCCTGTGGATCCTTTAAAACAAAACAATTTAGTTTATCTAATACCCTGCCTGCTGTAATTTTCAGGTCAAACTAGTAGAACAGGTTCAGTCAGACTAGCCGAGCATAAAAACCTAGCAAAATCTAGATTGGTTGACTCGAATAAGATAAGAAATCTGTAGAATAGTTCAACAGCTATAGCGCTCACTACATGCAATTGCACACAACCATACAACAGGATGGGATAAGATGACAGTTTTAAAATCTTATGTCACAGCAGGGTGGAAGGGGAGACTGATAACAGAAGCTTTGCTTATCGAATCAACTGCAAACACGTGTAATGGGAATTGATTCAACACCTGTCCACCCGGATTTCTGGAAAATTCTACTACCCCTACGACGATGAATAGGAGAGAACAAAGTCAACTATAAAACTCAAGTTTCGAAGTCGTGTAGCTATAATTGATGATATGATTATGAACAATAATAGATTGTATTCGAAACATCATCCAGTATATAATAATACTGCTTCACTATGTGATATATCCATATTATAAACAAGCTAATATGGAATTACTTAGTAGCACAGTGCCCAAGTTTTACATATATATTAATAGGAACCAGCATAAAATAGTATGTCATCCTTTCTGACGAATTTTGTGATTTATTGTGTGATCAATTCATCATCTTTCGTTTCACCTTGTTCTCTGTCGGATCGCCAACCAATCAGAATAGCTATTCTGTCTGTCTGCCTGTTTTCGACATAGAACTTTGCACATATGTGCGGCAGTTCAAGTCGTCACACTCCATGTAGCACACAAAGCAAGAGAAGAAAGTAGAAGAAATGCATAATATAGACAGTAAACAGAGGTGTGAGACAAAGGAATAGTAATAAAGAAGAACAAAACAGCTTCATTGGAAATCATAAGTCACAAGGAGTGGATGCATCTGCACCAGCCATTGAGAACGGTTTTGAGCCATGTCACCAATTGTTTCCAGCCTTCATTGGTTTTCACCGTCCCGAGGACCCCAACCAGGAAGTCTGCACCTTCCTACGTGGCTTAGACTAACTGTTGTAGATTTCATTGACTGGTGCCATGTTTTCGTTTGACCACCGCTAGCTCTTTTCCAGCCTGGTCCTATATCAGCTAACATTGCCCGTCGGGGAAGGCGATGACTAGGCATACGTAACACATGTCCTAACCATCTCAGTCGATGTAATTTCACAGTCTCGTCAATTGATTTCCCCGCCTTACCTAGCACTCGACGCCTAACCTCAATATTGCTCACCTTATTATACCACTTCACGCGGGAGATAGAACGCAGACACCTATGATCAAAGACAGCTAGCCAGCCTTTTCATGTCTTTTTTTTTAATAATAATAATAATAATTTGCTTTATTCCAAAACAGTACTTGTGATACAGAATGGAATTCTCAGCATTTTTACTACAGTATTGCATCCAGTTAGTACATTATCAATAAATAGAATTCTACATAGATTGAGGAAACCAACAGTTCATTATTACAACAATACATTGGCATGTCAGTAGCAAAGGTAAAGCTGAAACAGTGTTTGAAGGTGTTAGAAAAGTGGGAGCTGTCTTATTAACTGGCGTAAGCGAGAGAAAGAGACAAAGCAGCACATAACGGAAAAAGAAAAGAGAGAAAAGGAACAGAAAGAAAGAAAATGTTGTACCTATTGATGAAGTGGGTTGGAAAGATGAGATCCAGTTGTACTAATGACTATTTAATGAATTATAGGTGTCACGCCTAATGCTTTCTTTATCACACAGAACACGAGCTAAGTAGGGTGTGGTTGAGTTTTTGTACTTGCTGGTGCGAGGATATAGTTTTTTATGTAGGCTTCTGGTTTTACCTGATGAGATGGAAGGGGAGAGTTGTGAATGAAGAGGGTGGTGTGAGTTAGATAAAATGGATTTGGCCCATTTTTCACATGAGTCCATGTGCCTGTCAACCAAAATATTAACAAGCTGGTTAAGTGTGTCTTCCATTCTTAATGGCCAGATCTCACAGCCATAAAGGAGGACGGAGCGAGCTGATGAGCAGTACACACGCCCTTTGGTCGACAGCCAGCTAGATATCGCGTCTACGCCAGAGACGGCGTAAACTGGCATATGCGGAACTAGCCCTCTGTATTCGTGTTGAGATTTCGTCAGAGATCAACCCGTTGGGGCTGATGGTACTTCCCAAATAAGTGAAACGGTGAACGTGCTCTACCACTTCACTTCCTTTTTCTAATATAGGAGTCGGTGTAGTTCAATCCTGTAACATCATCTTACATTTCACAAGGGCGAGTGGCATGCCAAACATACGAAGATTGTTGCTCAAGGTTTTCAGTAGACTCTGCATTTTGTCAGAGTCCTCGCCTAGAAGGACTATATCGTCCGGATATTGTAAGTCAACGAGATTATTCCCTGGTAGCAAGTCAATCCCTGAGTCGCTGAAGTGTGATAGGGTTAAGTCCATTAGTACGTCTATGATGAAATTGAATAGGAATGGGGATAATGGGCATCCTTGACGGACGCCAATAGTCGTCACCAATTCAGATGACAACTCGCCATAAACCCTCACCTGGCTGCATGAGTACGAGTAGAGTGCCTTAATCAGTGCAATGTATTTTCTTGGCATTCCCTTTACAGCCAAGCATCGCCAGAGAACCTCCCGGTCGACAGAATCGAATGCCGCCTTTAGGTCAAGAAATATAATGATTGTTGGACGCCAGTAGGAATGCCCATGTTCTAGAATCTGTCGAAGGGTGAAGATATGATCAATACACCCTCTTCCTGGCCTAAAACCTGCCTGGTTTTCTCGTGTTTGTGTCTCCCGAGCACCACTTAGTCTACACAGTATTATTGAGCCTAGGATTTTAGATCCTATATTCGTCAAGCTAATGCCTCTGTGATTATCACAAGAAGACTTGTCTCCCTTCTTGTATATCGGGATGATCAGTGACTTACACCAACCCGATGGGACTTCCTCTGTTTCCCAGACGCTGCCTAGAACCTCAGTTAATGCAGACAGTAAACTGTCTCCACCGTACTTAAATACCTCTGGAGTCAATCCATCAGGTCCCGCTGCTTTGCCTAGCTTCAGATTGGTGACAGCTTTAGTAACCTCAGTTAGGGACGGAGGACCTGTGTCTATATCCCATTCAGGGAGGTGTTGGATATTCGGCAGGTTAAGTGTGGCTGTAGGGCAGTTAAACTGCTCCTCATAGTGTTCTTTCCAGCGCTCCAGTCGTGTATCCTGGGAGCTAATTATGGTGCCATTTTTCTCCGAGATTGTTTCGCTTATCATTTGCCTTTTGCCACCTGTTTCCCTGATAAGCCTGAATAGTTGTCTGGTGTTGCTTATCGCTGATGCCTTTTCCATCTCTTTCGCTTTTGTCGCCCACCACTGTTCACGGTCCATGCGAAGACTTTTCGTTAGTCTTCGTTTAAGTACCTTTCGCTCCTTATTGAATTCGGAGCTCGCTGGAATCAGTCTTCTTGCGTCAATCAGTTCGAATGAGGCGGTAGAGATCCAATGGCTTTTATTAACTTTAGGTTTTAGCTTATTGACAGTTTTCACAGCTGTGTCCACAGCTAACTCTATGTTGTGCCAGGCTACCTCGGGGGAACTCCTGCTGTCGCCCTCAGTAACTCGTTTCGCTATTTCTTCCTTAAATAAGGACTCAGTGTCTCTATCTAGTTGGGGACGTAACTGTTTCGCTGCCGTCAATTTCTTATGTCCATTTAGTCGTAAGCATAAACGTGCGCGAACCAGAGCGTGATCAGAGTCTACGCACCTATTCCAGAAGGAACGACAGTCTTCTACTGACCCTCGCCAACGATACCCTATCGCTGTGTGGTCTATCTGAGTCCTGCGTTGATTTGTTGATGGAGGTCGCCAGGTTACACAATGTCTTTGTGCCTAAAGTTAGTGCTGACTAGGAATAGATGATTATCTGAGCAAAACTGAAGAAGACGATCACCGTTGTCGGTTCGTCGGCATGGAACTCCATACGTACCACCTACATACTTCTCAGTCTGGCACAACTTCCCTACTTGGGCATTGATGTCGCCTGCTAAAACAACTAT